ACCTAGTTTAGAGCTTTGCATAGATGCAAGCTGCTTCTGGTCGTTAGTGCGAGGATTGCGGTGGTCGATTTTACTCTCTGATCTTGATAACGAATGTTAGCTCCATGCGCAGTGATATTTCATGCGCTTTAGAGGTTCTCGAAGTCGTTTTTTTATCAGCCGCTAGTAGCTCACTCTCAAAAAAATCTCCAAAATGTCCGTATTGCTTCTAGATTTACGTAAAGAAATGTTTTATTGGCTTCCGTGTGTCTGGCTCAAGACAGCAAATATGTGATGGTTCGATTTGTTCGTCTTCGAAATTTGTTAAAATCACTCTTGTCCCACCGAAATGATATTGCGTTGTCGCCGCCAATTGACTCAACTGCCATGTTTCGCGACCAGTAGTAACCTACATTTGCTTTGTTGTTATAAACTCCACCAATCTGTTCGCGACATGATTTAGTGCTGCCAGTTACCGTTAAACCGAAAAGGAATGCAAATTGTTCATTTCCAATACAAGGCTTCTGTAGGAGAGACGGGATATTGAATGTAGGTAAACGTGATTTGGTCACTGAATTTGCATTGGATATTGTTACTTATCTCCTTCATCAAGGATCGGCTACTGCTCTTTCCTGTTTCGGTCCTATCAGCCATCTAGCCACTGCACTAGCCTTTGGCGGCAAAGGTGTGCGGCTCCCAACTGGCCAAACAGATTGAGTTTTTTCTTGTTTTACAATGCTATCTGCCTGATTTAAGTAGCTGCTGTATTGCTCCTTTTTTCATGGCTTCGCTTGGTCTTCTTATTTTTGAAAAAAAGATGCTTACAAATTTTTGAATAAAAAATGTGACTGGTAATCTGAGCTTGTTTAAATAGTCGCTTTGTTGGTGTATTTAGACAATTGCCTTGGTGGATTGCCAGCGTTCTCCTTGCGCAGGATGAAGCTTAGGAGTATTCAACTGAAGGACAGTAGACTGTGATATCCATCCTCTGGTGTCTGCCAATTTCAAGAGCTGAGGACACTGAGTATTTACAGCAATTCTTGGCTTGCACCTATCCCTCCAACGTGGTGCGACTAGATTCCCAAAATTTTTGTCCGCTTCGCATCTACAGCATTTCTGCGGAATTATGGGCAGTTATCGACAGTTGACCATGGTGAAGATCGTTTTTCTTGATTGTTGTGTAGAATTACAGTAACTTATTTAACGACTGTCCCCTCTCCTATGACTGGTTTGTTGAATTGGAATTATGTTACGCAATGCTTGATACGTAATTTAGGGTGTGTTAAGTGGAATTGTGCCAAATGCGCCTGGCTTGTCCTCAGAGGTAGAGTGCCACAAGGTTGATTGTGAGATGAATCCAGAGTTGTGTTAAGCTTCAAGTGGAATGATGATGCAAGGGGGTCTGTTGTGGAGAATTTGGCTTGTTTCACAGGAGAAGTGAAAAAACAGACTCACAGCTCAGATGCTTGGGCAGCTATATGTAGCTGGGCTCGCGGCATTCAACAACTAGAGGGTGGTGTAATTTCGTTGGGCTCGCATGCGATTGCTAGGTGGTGAAGTTGTCGGCGTTTG